CACAGGCTTTACCGATGTGTACTTATCATGTATGTGTTTTGCGAGTGTTTGAAGATGGCACCACATACAAGAAAAACTGCTCACCCAGACTTCTACTTTCTTGTGCCATAAGACAGTTTAGTATTTATTAAGCAACAATAAATGTTGTGGTGCCTGTGTTTTGTATTGCAAAATGTCTTTCTTTTAGCTTTCTTTCTTTGTTTGTTCGTTTCCACTATTAAACCCTCATGATAAAAGGCATACGATAATATAGCATCAGTGCATGTGATATTTTCTAGGCCAACCAGTGTCCCACAGTCGGCAGTTCGACTGTGACTACACACATATCCACCATACAACCCAGCACTCTTCTGGAGGGCTTGTTGCTGCTCTGTTTATATATGACATGTGTCTATAAAATGTCAGATATAGTGAATAATGCCCATCGCAGTTCAGTCATCTTCAAGTGTTTTGTTTTGTCCAACCAAAAGTTGGAAGATGTTTACATGATGTTACATTACAACATTAGTAATATTGGCAGTATATAATGTTATATGTTCTTTATCATGAGGACAGAACAGTGGGTCTTCTGTTCTTCCTTTGACTAACCCCTATACCTTTCTCTCTATCTCTCCAACCTCACTCTTTTCCCTTCTCTCCATCCCTCCCTCTCTGGCAGAGGAACGCTCTGTTTGCCATCTCTCCAGCCACCATGGAGGTGTTGATGCGGGTGCTGGCCGACTGCTCCATGGGTAGCTGCTCCTCAGATGAGGGCGAGGACTGGGACAGCGAGGCCCCCGACCGTAAGGCGCTGCTGACACTGGGCTGCCTGCGGGAGGTGGTGCAGCGCCTCCTGGCCTCAAGCTCTGACCAGCGGCAAGTGGAGATCGCCTCCGTGCTGGAAAACTACTTCAAGCTGCTCAACTCGGACCCGGCAGCTGTCGTTGCTGCCCGACAGCAGCAGCAGGCCAAGGGTCGAGTGCCGACACTAGGCCGACACTGGGAGAGCCGATTCGTGGCGCTGCAAGTACACATGCTAGGTGCTTAATTGACAATAATGGTCACTTTTTAACATTATGTTATTGATTATATTCCTTTGAGCTGTTCTGGCTTGTTGAATTATGATTTGCATACAGGGAGGCCAAGCTAATATGACTTATACTACCCTTTCAATGTCTGTCTTGGTTCTTTTTCTCTCTCCATCTTCGTCTCTCTTTGTTTCTGTGTCTTTTCGTCTGGCTGTCTCTGTCTGTCTCTCCTGCCATCTCTTAGACACTATCAGGGACATGTTCCTGTGTTCCGACAGGCCAGTTCTACAAGCCATCTTCCTCAACAGTAACTGTTTCGAGCATCTGACACGACTGCTGCAGAACAGCAAGGTAACAGTGCAAGTCTTTCTGTCTAAATATACCTTGAAGACACAACTTGGTTACAGTGTGTGAGTGGCTGCATCTGGTGTTTGATCATTCTAAGTTTATGTTTGTAGCTCAGAACTGGGCCAAATTGAACAATATTCCTAATGTATTAGTTAGTCTTGACCATATCTTGTATCTGATACTACAAGCTAAAGTAGTATCAGTATTTAAAGTCCTATTCTTATATGAATTTGTTTTTATACTTTGATACAAGGACTCACAGTTGTACAGTATAACTTGCTGCTTTTTGCAGTTGCATTTTGTTGATGATGAAAACCAGCTTTGATAAAAGGTTGTTTTAGTTTAGATAAATTCCTGAAGTTGAAAAAGTAGTCAGGTCCTTTGCTTAACTTAAAGAAATCTTAAAGTTATCATCAGCAGTATACACTTAAAGTATCAAAAGTAAAAGTACTCAGAATGGCCCTTTTTTAGAATGTTATATATACCTTATTATTTGATTATTATTATTACTGATGCATGTAAGCAGCATTTTACTGTTGTTCCTGGTCGGGGTGGAGCTAATTTAATTCACTCGACTAATCTATGACAATGCGTCGTATTATATTTGGTAATAATATGTTTTGTTTGTAAAATCTAACCCGGCAAAGTCTTAACTATATATGTCAAATAAATGTAGTGGAGTAAAACGTATAATCTTTCCCTCTGATCTATAGTAAGGTAGAGATATAAAGAAGCTTGTATATACTCAAGTAAAGCACCAGCACCTCAAAATTGTACTTGAGTAAATGTATTTTCCAATATTGAAAGTAGTTTTGGATTGATTATTTCCCTCTCTGGTAAAGGACCTTCTGTTGTTGTGAGGGTGTATTCACAAAGGATCTAACCACTAGGAGTCATCCTGAATGGCACTAAAAGTTTCTCTGAAGAGCATTTTACAAAGCTGCAGAGAGCCACTTTTAGTAAGGAACAAAGAGAACTCGTAAGCTAAGAGAAGGGACAGGGTCGACCCTGTTGCTATGGATTTTCTTTGAATGAACTTACTGAGTATGTCTGCAGTGATAGTTTGACAGGTGTCCAGTCTTTGTCAGCGATTTAGTATTAAATTAGATGGATCAGCCCCAATATAGCCCCAGGTGTTTAATATGTAATTTGCTTTAGCCTGTATGTCCTGTTATAGTTAGTTTCAGCGTGAGAAAAAGCATTTTGCCCACCTTGCATGTTTACCTCCCCACAGCAAGGCTGGATCACCAACACGCCCCCGAAAGGGACTCCTGCCGAGGGTCATGGCTTTTAACCTCTCACCCTCTCCTCCACTTACAACATCTTTCCTTCCCCTGCACCACCCTCTGACTCTCCCTTGTCTCCATTTTCTCTCTCTATCGACCTCCCCACATGCCATGTTGACATGTTGCCTGTTGTGTGTGTCAGCTGGTTAATGCTAGGTGCACGGCGGCAGACAAGGACCAGAAAGATATAACCAACAACAGGTTACTGACAGGAGAGAGGGACACTCAGGTACCACCGAGAAAGCCCCCACCTTAACTCACCCAACCCCCCCCCTCACATCATCCATCTACCTGCCCCTTGCCCTCACCTGCTGCCAAGTCCCAAGACCTCACCAGAGCCACTCCGCAGCAAGACACTTACACTGCTTTGTCCCGGATAATTATTTGTAATTGGATCATGTCTCAACAGAAAACTCACTGAGTCGTTGGGCTGTCAGACTGCTGGCAGGCAACACACTTAGTTGTGTGTGTGTGTGTTATTTATTTAACTGTTACACCACCATGTTCGTGGTGTTTTCAGATTCATACATTATTTCCTGTTGCACTACTTGTACCGGCCTGTTTTATTTGTGGCTTACTAATAATTCACCTTTTTAAATGAAATTGTGTTCAAGTTAATGTAGGTCTTGTAAGTACTTTATGAACTGTATTTTCTTATTCACTTTCTTGCTGAGAGTTGGAGGAAAAGATCGATACCATTCTCATAGCTGTCTGTCAAATATAAAGCAACAGCCATCATAATGAACAGATATAAAGTGGTGAACCCCACCCATCTGATCCCTTAAACAGGTTAGGAAGGCAGAAAGTAGCTTGTAAGCATCCGTTATAAGAATGACATGAAGGATTCTCAAGCGTGAACCTGACTCTAGATAAACTGAAAAAATGTGGCCTTTTAAAACTTTTGTTTTCCTGAAAGCTCTATGACATGAAGCTGTCACTTATAGTACCTGTGTGATAAGTCTGAGGCCCGTCTTTTGAATGGTGTAGTGTCAGCTATCAGTCAGAGCTCTCTCATTGAATCATCTCATGTGCACAAAAAAGGTCACTTGTTCCCCTCAGAGTATACCAGCTTTCATTCTGCTCTTTGTACTGCTTCTACTCACAGAGCCACCTTTTATACAGTATAATCCCTCCACTGATCTGGATAATGTGAATACAGGTGGACGAACCAACATGAAGACACACACACACACACACACACACACCAGTGTGCCTTTGTTGTTGTGCAGCTGTAACCCGATGCACTGGCAGATGCTGCAGCCTGCTTGACAGGTTTTTAAACATTGAGCTTTTGTTGTTTCCGAGGTCACCTGCAAAACTGAAGCTTAGTAGTTTAAAGCAGCGTTTTAGTTAATTAACAACAGAGAGATGTAAAAGTGATGCAGATGTAATTAAAAAGCAAAAACTGAAATTCCAAAACCAGAAGTGACCCAAAGTGCTAAATGTCTTGCTGTGGAGTGACCCCTTTGCCTCTATCACAGCTATGTCATTTCATTTATTTTATTACCATTTTCCTCACGCCCCTCCCTCCCTCCCTCCCCACCACATTGTCCTGGTTTTCTGCGGTACATGCTATGGGTTCCACAGGAATGCTATCACATTGGTCTGGTGTGTGTTCTCACAGAGTTCAGTGGTTTGAGGTGATCTGGACTCAGTGACAATGATCTTAAGTGTTTAATTCTCACCACAGTCCCTCTCCAGCTAGTCCAAGACTCTCTGTAGGATCAACCGGTCTACAGCTGCATGTTTATTCTAACGGGTTCAGTGACCCGGAACATGTTTGACATGAGCAGGACAGAGCTGGATGGAGATGTGTTTGTGTTTATTTTTCATGGTTTGGTTTGTGTTTTATGGGATGCATGCTTTTTGTGAATATGAGGAAAAAGAGTGAGGTTCTTCTTTGTGGCTGTGTGTGGAGGTGGGTGTTTTATTTTTCTTTCTTTTCCTTTTTAGTTTTTTACCGAGCCCTGAGAGCTTCCTGCTCCAGTCCAATCATTGTGCTATTTAAAAGGATTGTTTTCTACCTGGAGCAGAAAGACAACACTATCCTTATCTGCACTGTAACATCTGCAGTACAAGCTTTGATGCCAGCTCGTACTGCAGTGTCAAACTACCATCATGATGATTTTACTCACGTTTTCACCCACACTAATTGAATCAAACTCCAAGGCATCTACTTAAGTCTCCCTTTTATTCCTCTAAGTGTGATGCATGTCATATTCACTGCTTTAAGTAATTTGATTTCATTTGATCATCCTCATTTCAGCATTACAAACCTTATATATGAGTGTGGCTTTATGCATGCTTATCACTTTATTAAAGTGCTATAGCATTCATCTGGAATAAGAGGAGATTTGACTTGTGTCCAATCATCTTTTACAAACTCTGCCCGGGAAAAGAACAAGTGATTGGCGGTGGTGAGTGACTGACAAGTCTGATTTTCCTGCAGGTGTTTCAAGGGCGACTAGACTCCCTCGCTGTAGCAACCATCAAAGCCCTGACAACAGTGATGCACAAATCACCAGCTGCAAAGGTAACAGGAACATGCATTTCATTACATGCAATATCTATAGTCCCGAATTATTTTGGCTGAATTCTAAAGCTCTATAATTTCAGTATTATATTTTTTTAACATATTTGCAAAGTGTTTAAATAAAATAGAGAGAAAGTAGAATTATACAACAAAGAGTAAAACCAGACAAATCAGATACAATGAAAATATTTGCAGAGGAAATATGAAACCATACAAGTCACTTTAAAAGCCAGTTTGTCTTTAGCTGATATTTAAATAGAGCAATACAGATTGTGAATGGTACTTCATTCCACAGTTTAGTGCCGTGACAGGAAACGTACAGTCGCCCTTGCTTACAAACTTTTACTTTCACTGTATGCTGAGTAGAGAGAGTTAAAGTAATCATCAGGCTGGAATTGAAGCCAGGCTGCTGCGGTTAGGACTAGGATACTCACTCTTCCAGGTGAGGTAACTGCCCCAGCCTGCACAAAATTGACATGTCAGGTCAAAGCTACCAAGTTCCATAGAAACCAGACAGGCCTGAAACCATTCAAGAACAAAGCCGCTCATTATTGAGTTATTCAGGAAGAGAAGAAAATGTTGTTCGAGAAGTTTACAAAACTAATTTGAATTCCATCAATCAAATGAGAAACTCTGGGAAGGAAATTGAAGTGGCCATGTAATTGTATTCATGTAATTGTATTTTCATTATTTTTTCCGCCGCCCCTGCAGGAGGTGTTCAAGGAGAGGATTGGTTACAATCATCTGTATGAAGTGCTCACTTCACTCGGCCAGCCGTCACGGCACCTTCTCAAAGAGCTGATGAACATGGTGAGAGAAAGATGGTGCTTGGTGTTGATTGTTCATCTAGTCAGCCTCCTGTATTATATTTTTTGGTCTGGTTGAATGATGTCCTGTTAACATTCTTTGTTGCCTGATTAAATAAACAATTCTTGAATCCACTGCGTCTCTACCTGTTTGTATTTTGTGTGTAGGCGGTGGAGGGCGAGCACACCTCAGTGGGACTCCTGGGCATCAGTAACGTGGAGCCCTTGCTGCTGCTGGTCCAGTGGCTCCCAGAGCTGGACTCATCGGAGCGGCAGCTTTTTACTGCCGACTGGCTCCGCCGCCTCAGCTGCCTCAACCGCCAGACCCGCGCCACCTGCGTCAACGCCGCCATGGTCATGCGAGCGCTGGCCGCCCTGGAGTGCCACGAACAGCTGCATCGAGCTTGCGCCGAGAGTCTTTTGGGGCTGGTGGGTTCACTGGGCTCCCAGTCGTTGAGCGCCAGGGAACTCCTGGGACTCGTGCGCCTCCTCAGGCCTCCAGAGTCCACTCAAGCACACCCTTATGTAGGTCCTGCCCTGAGAGCCCTCCTGGCCATGGTACGAAAGCAGGGCCTGGAAAGTGCCATGCAGTACTTTGACCTGTCACCCAGCATGGCCGGCATTGTAGTCCCAACAGTGCAGCGCTGGCCAGGCTCTGCCTTCAGCTTTGTCGCCTGGTTGTCACTAGATCAGGACCAGTTGGGCCCACCCAGCAAGGACAAGAGGAAGCAGCTCTACAGGTGAGAGGACAGGAGAAAGAATAAATGAAAGTAGATAGGAGAGAAAGCATTATTAGAAGATATATTCACTATTTCTTGTGATATTCCCACACTGTCTTGCAGTGCCGAAATGATCATAGAAAAAGTTCTGTATGTCAACAGTTTTCTTATATTTGATCCTGTACAGCTTTTTCACCCCGGGGGGGATGGGGTTTGAGGCCTTCATTAGCTCAGCGGGTGTGCTAGTGGTTGCTGTATGCACGAAGAAGGAGTACGTCACTGTCATGCTGCCCGACTACTGCTTCTGTGACTCTCTCTGGGTGAGTCAGACTTAATGACATCTGTTGAAGTGCCACTGAAATATGGAAATGTAGACAGAATAAAAACACCAACGCAGCACAGTTGGGCTAAAAGTCTGAACATCCTACAGTCTGGCAACACTCACATCACCCTGCATTTAGAAGATTAACACCTTTCAGCCTAATGTCTTGTAGACTGATTAAAGAGAGTAGAGATTAAAGGGACTGAACTCTGTCTGAATTTCTGTTTACAGCACAGCATCGGTGTGGTGCATGTACCAGGAAAAAGGCCGTTTGGACAGAGTCTCGTATACATTTATGTGGATGGGCAGCAGAAACTGTCTGCCCCCCTCAAGTACCCCATCATGACAGAGGTGAGTATCTGAATTTAATCACAAAAGACTTGTTGTTGTTGTTTCTAATGTATTAATGTTTATAAGAAGAGAATACTCACTCCCCTATCTTATTCTGTTCTCACCAACAGCCATTCACCTCCTGTTGCATTGGCTCAGCGGGCCACCGGACCACTACTCCCCCGCCCTCCCAGATCCCAGACCCTCCCTTCTCCTCCGCCACAACACCCACCACTCGCTCCTCGCTGGGCGGCATCCTGTCGCCGCAAACTTGGGGGGGGCTGCTGGGGGGGAAGTCTGAGACAGTGACAAAGCTCATCTCTGCAGGGACCCAGGACAGCGAGTGGGGAAGCCCTACCTCGTTGCAGGGCCAGCTGGGAAGCGTCATGGTCTTCCATGAACCCCTACAGCCCAACCACATGAAAGCCATCTGTAGTGCTGGTAAGAAGGGGGAGCCGGTGTGAGAGGAGGAAGAAGAGGAGAAGAGTATGCATCATAGATTTAGTAAAAAAAAAGTGTTTTTTGTCTTCTCTTTCTCTCTTAAATTCGTTTTCTGTCTTCTATGTAGGTCCAAACTGCATCTCTCCATTCAAAACCCAGGAATCAGAACTCGGCGACCTTTCAGCCAAAGTGCTGCTGCATTACTCCCCCAAGGTGATTGGACCACTGTGGTTTCAGCCATCCCTTCTTAAAGCTTTAAAGTTTTATCAGTAAATCACAGGGTCGTATCAGTTCATTCAAGACAGTTATAAGTTTTTACTTTTGTAGGAATGAGGAATTCTGCTTTGTCAAGTGTAGTTATTTTTATTCCCTTTAATGAGTGGAAGATAAAATTATATTCTCAACAATTGTATTAATTATTTGGAGGAAATCTGCTAACTGTTAACTAAACACGGTCTTTTTGTCAACAGGCGTGTAGGAATCCCATCTGTCTCGATCTGTCTCCAAACATGCTGCACGGCCGCCTGACTGGAAATAAAGTTGTCAACTGGGATATCAAGGTGGGAGGAAAATCCGACTCATGCTGTCGTCTAATTGTTCTGCGCTCAGAGGAATGTCGCACGGATGTACTGTATATATCTTTGAAAATGTGTTACGTGTGTGGCAGGATATGATCAACTGTGTTGGCGGCCTGCCAGTGCTCTTCCCTATACTGGAGCAGTTGTCTCTGGTGACCCCTGATCAACAAGCCAGTGATCCCGCAGCCGGGTCAGACTTCATCACCCCTGATGTGACCACGCCAGCCGACGGAGATTGGGTCATTCTACCATCCAACAGGGCTTCAGGTCTGTTCTGCCACAACCTGCAATAACATATTTCTTTTTTACCTCCTCGTTTCTCTTTACTCTCAATTTAATCGTGGAACTGGGGCACAATTTCTGTTTCAGAGGCACGCCTGGAGAAAAACCTGGTAGCCACCTTCCTGTTGGTGCTGAAGCATTTCCTGCAGAGACACCCAATCAACCAGGAGAATCTGCTCCACTCGCATGGTGTCGGTACACTGGGGGCCCTGCTGCAGAAGGTCTCTGTTTAATCTTAATTCTGCACATGGTTAACATTACCGGGGTGTCAGGATGTAGTTTCAGGCACTGTGCACAGAACGAGACTCTGGGTGCTCCTCAGATTCTGTGAAAGAGATCTGCTTCATGTCTACTTCACTCACACAAATCATCAATGTCTTGCCCAAATTAGTAATAGCTTTTAGGAATATTCTAAACAAATGTCTTGGCTTGTTAATACCACCACTTTCCTTTGTTCAAATATGTCAGAGGAAAACAGTTTGCTGTGTAATAAAAAATATGAAGTTTGTCTTGAGAAAAGGCCAGTTAATCAGTCAATAAACTGGTGAAATGTTTATAATTTATACTTGAAGACCACAAGGGACAGTTTACAGCGGAAACATAAATACCATCCCTCTCTGCAGCTTGTGACCTTATGACAATGCAAGTTGCCTAATTATAAGGGGTCTCCTGATAATACTTGACAGGCATGAGTCACACTAATTTTTTTTTAGCACTGCTTTAGTTTTTTGGGCATATAAAGTTACTTCCTCCTTCAGATGAGTGCAGTTATACAAAAAGAAGAGTTATCTCGAATGATGTTTTAAAAGCACTGGTCACTTTCTCCCAGTGGTGTGCATTTCACAGTGTATTAATTACAGAAGATCTCCACATAAGCCTCTTGTTTTTCTCCATATTCAAACTGGATTAGTTGGTTTCTGTAGAGGAGGAATTAAGAATCTCTGTTGACTGACTATTTTTGAAGCCTACAAACGGCCACTTGTAGCTTTTATTACATCATTCATACTGTATGAGACTCACATGGTATGCATTCAAAAATTAATTCACCTCAGATAGCTTTTGTCCCTTTCTGAAGGTCGGTGTCTGTTTGTTCTGTGCGCCTGTGTTTTCATCTCCTTCGTGTCTTTCTGTTTCTTCCACCTTCTTTTGTCTTGTGTGAGTGCCTCAGTATTTTTGTGATTTTATCGAAGGTGCTGGAAATGCCACTGAATCATGGGAAAATAAAAGCCTCCACAGAGACCAAGATAAAAGAAAATGCCTTAGATGTGGTAATAGTTCCTCTAGGCGAAGTAACCACACCCTGTAAATGGAAAAAAGCAAATAAACCATTGATGCGTTTCTCCATCCCAACATGTTCCTTATCTGTTTAGCTGAGGCGAGTTATGGGTGTAAGGCATGACTTATACTTGTTTGCCAACAGGCTTTATCATTGTTTATGAAACTATACTATAAGTACCTGTTTACGTTGCTTCTTAAAAGGCCCCTTTTAAGATCACAAAATATATTTTTCTGTAATCTTCCCCTTTCTCTGTTTGATCATTTTGCATGTGTGCCAGTAAATGTGCATAAAATTGTACGAAGAATAGTGAAATTCAATCTATTGTTTTTGTATGTGTTTAGCTGCCAGCAGGTCACGTGGACGTCAGCGTGTTGGTTGCTATGCAGCTTCTGATAGAGCAGGTGACATATGAGAAGAACCAGGCTCTGCTGCAGCAGCTTCACACACATTTATTGTTCAACTTCAACATCTGGAACAAAGGAGACTTCCCTCTACGCATAGGTTAGATCTATATGTATGCATGTAATGTGTGCGTGTGTGAGCAGGAGCATGTGCAGGCATACTCGGGGTGAAATCAGGTAAAACTTAAAAAAGGGAAATAAGAAGTAATTGCATTACAGTAGTCATTACGAAGGGTGTTGTACATGAAGCTGCCGACAATTCGTCCAGAACAACATGTAAAGTATAATAGGAATGTAACTTCCCAGAAACCCTGCTGGCTGCCTGGCAACGCTTGTTCTAGCACATAACCTCTTAAAACAACAACTTCTCATTTTTACACGTCAGTTTTTGTTTTATACATAATATATGTAATATAGCGTGTTAATTAGTAAGCCTTAGATGTCATAGTAGTCAGATTAGATTTTAAGTTTGGACAGGCTAGCTGTTTATGCTAAGCTAAGCTAACCAGCTGCTGGCTCCAGCTTCATATTTAACAGACGCATAAAAGAGTGGTATCATCTTCTCGTCTAACTCTCAGCAGGAAAAAGCAAATAAGTGCTTAATTTTAAAGGTTACAGTTTAGAGTAGATTTGTGAAGGTTAAATGTTAATATAAATACAGTGTGAGTGATGCAGTCCATTAACTATTTCATTCATCTATTTATTCTGCATTTCCCTGCATTTTCTATGTACAGTATGCATGTATATTTATACATCCTTAAGGCTTTTGTGTGTCCCTGATTGAGACTGTTGTCTTCCAATGAAGGTCATATCCAGTACATGTCCACGGTCATCAAAGATAACAGGAAGCAGTTCAGAAAAAAATATGGAGTTCAGTTCCTTTTGGACACGATACGTCTTTGTTACGGGTGAGATCCCGTTTCCCAAAGTTCATACCCCGTCAAATACATCGAGTCTGTTTTTCCCAAAACATTATTGTCACCTGCTCTGTGCTACAGGAAGAACAGCAATAAAGAGAGCGAGCTGAGTGAGGATGATATTCGTACCATCCGGGCGTCTCTCTGCGGCCTCATCAAGTACTACATGAGCAAGGGCATGTCACAGGAGGAGATGCACAGCATTCTGGGATACATCTCTGCCATTGGAGATGAGGAGCAGGTGAGGGGGTCGGGTCAGATGTTATGGTATCACTTAAAAGATCTTTAAATAAACCTGTTTATGTTTATGATGCATTACAGCAGCAGAAAGGAAATGGTGACTTTAAATCTTACAATAAATCGTAAGTGATTATCATACGCATCGGGATAGTACTTGTGCTGTTCTACTAACTCATACAGAAGCCTAATGAGAGTGTCCCCAGCAAAGACAAGAATACTCCCTACTAAGTTATTATTAGTGCATGCTTGCCGGATGACCCATATATTGTGAAACGGGTTAATGCCAGCCAGTCCTGCTATTTGAGGAGTTTATTGTAAAATAATATGACCTTTTGCTGCCGGATTTTCCCTCTGAGACTTAGTGCAGTGATGCCTGAACAGGAAGCTATCAGCTCGTTTCCCACCTGGCAGCTGCTTTGCCAGCGTCCCTCTCTCTCTCTCTCTCTCTCTCTCTCTGCATTATTTTTAAACGTTTTCCTCTCTGTAAGCAATATCCATCAGTGGCTGTTTGCTGAAACAAACCACTTAATTTCTTGACTGTTTTCCTCTACACTCGCTAGTTCTCACAGGACTCGGTATATGTCACCTATTTTGTGAAGTCATTTTCCGCCTCTTGTCACACCTCCACCACTTCTCTCCCCTTTTTTTTTTTTTGTCCCGTCTTGTTTTTCATTTTGTCTGTCACTTTGAATATCCTCTTACGCTGCAGTACTATATGTGGAAGCTTACGTCATCCTCTATGAACATATGGTCAATATAATCGCATGAGCCTCCTCCACTGCTCGGCATCTGCCATGTCTCTGACTATTTATCCATTCACTAAACCAGTGTTCAAATGCTGCAACTACGACAAATTCACTTTATTAAAACACATTCTTTAGTTAAACTTAACATGCGTTGTGCAGATGTAGATCTTGCAATACAAATTTAAACTAGCCCAATTTCTGTGCTTGTTAAGAGTGATATGACATTCACAACAAGCTGTTTTACTGTCTTTTAGTGCTATAATTTCCTTCTCAAAATGTAGAACAAGTAATCTTGACTATGTAAAGGTAACTAGTTGTGGTTGTCTGCGTTGCAGTTGTGTGGGCTGCTGGAGTTGTTACTCAGCCTTCTTCAAAGCAGTGTTGCCAGAGACCAGCTCTTCCTGCTCCTCTTTGAGCCCGGGGCGGCCGACTCCTGCTACGCTCTCCTGCTCAACAGCAAGCACTCGGATCGACTCCGAGAACTCGTCTTCAAGGTGGGTTACAGCCAACCACACCTGGGAGGTGCAGAAGAGTCAGGGAGTTTAAATTAACTCTCACATTAGTACGTTTGTATCGATCATGATCAACTATCATATGAATATAGCAATAAATCAGCAAAAATGAGAATCAAAATGTTCTCTTCTCTCTCCTACTGCACAGTTATTTGAGCGCATGTTGCGCTGCGACCGCGTCTATGAGAAGAATAAACAGCGTTTGCGGCTGAGGGAGGCAGGCTATGCCGGCCTTTCACTGCTGTTCTCCGAACTTCACATCACTCCCACGCTGATCCGCTGTCTCCTCAACCAGGTCCTCCACACAGGTCAGCTTCTCTTATTTAAATAACTTAAGTGTGTTTGACACTGCTTAGTAGCTGCAGTCAGTACGTGTAGTGTCACTGGTCAGTCTGGCTATTTCCCAGTTAGCTCTGTTGTTGTAAATCTTAGATTTAATTCATTCAGCCGAAGTTGAAGCTTTTAGTCAATTGGTCAGTGAACAGGGTTTTTTTTTTTTTTAAAATATATATCCGACAACATTTTCTGCTGCCCATTAAGGCCCGTACCATTACGTGTTATTTGAATCAATGGAATCAATTTGATGGGTCCTCACAGAACGCTAAGCCAGTATACATTATTTATTTATTTTTTCTTTGAACAGAGGAGCAGTGTGGATTTACCTTCACTCAACTCCAGTCACATACACAACACACTGTTAAAGGCTGAACGTGGCTGTAGAGAGGCTGAAAAAAATGTCTGACCAATACTTTGTACAGATCAGTGAAGCTCAGTTGGAAGCAGTGAACAGAATCGCTCCCCATCTGTAATTTGGAAAGAAAACATATAATAGCATTAACACGTGGAAGCACCAAATGCACAAAATGTAAGAGTGTGTGTGTGTCTAAAATCCACAGATCACGTGGTGAACTACAAGGACCTGATGTCTCTGGTCCAGCTCACTCACCGGGCTGGACCGAGCGTACGCCTCATCGTCTGCAAGAGGGTGAGGAAACGCCTGCAGACACTATTGATTATATATATTGTATAACAGCAGACACAGGAAATAACTGAAAGTCCCAGCAATTGATTAGTATCGTCAAATGCTTTTCACATTGATTTCTATTTCCTTTCTTCTCTTTATGCCCTTGTTTCCCTTCATCCATTATTTCCTTACACCCCCCTCACACACACACACACACACACACACACACACACAATGGTTTCTGAGTTTTGTTACTGGTATTTTCATTAATTTTTCTCAACCTACAGCTGACTGAAGCAGCAGCAGAAGGGAATGTTAGCAGTGGTTGGCATTAGCAGTGACTGAATCTTAATCTAGTGAACAGTTAACAGTGATGCTGATATCAGTGAGATACAATTACAAACAGTAACGCTAGATTAGATGCATGCATCGTTTCCTGAATGCCCTTTTGCTTTAAATTGTCGACCATGAATAGTATAAAAACAGGGATTTCATAAAAATCTTGAAAATTATAACTTTAGTGATTAATTGTAATTGCCTGTTTTGAGATCAGTTTAGTACCCTCCATTTGCTTTATTGTTGTTTGTATCTTATTCTCTTAGCTCTAACAAGTTTATTTATATCTTGTTTGTAATGATCTAATAATCTTTTAAGTTTCAACTCTTAATCATTCCAAATACTTATAATATAACCAGTGAGTATCAGTACATAACAATACTGCATTTTAAATCAAGAACCAGGAATGGTTAAAGAACATCACTAACAAACAGAAACAGTTGTGAATTAATTGTTAATGATTATGAGTTGAATGTTTAGCTTTGAAGATTGTTTTTTTCCCCATCCTTTACCACTTGATGCTACTTGACTCAGTTTTCCCACAGGTCCAATTAAACTTAATCAAACTAATCTTCCTCCTCGGTCTTCAGGTGTACCAGCTGCTACAATCCCAACAGGATGCTGCCGTCCAGATCTCAAGGCAGCAATGTTGGCAGGACACTCTGATGCGGCTGTACCTGCGGGGTGAAGGGTCCTTGCCACTGCGGGGCGCTGACACCATCAGCACGTGCAGCCTGGACCTGAGCCGGTCCAGTGGCAGCAACACTAACCGCCTCGAGCTGCCGCTGGACAGGAGGGCGCGGGCAGGCAGCGCTAGCCGCCTGGACCGGCTAGAGGACGACCGACTCAGCATAGGTGACACTCGGTCTGTGGACAGCCTGGAGAACGGTGACGTCATCTCGCTGCTGGACACGCCATCTTCCTCTGCCTCCACCGAGCCTCCACTACACGTCAAGCCCTGGGTGGTGGGAAAGTCAGGGGGCTTGATGCTGGATCTGTCCCATCTGCAGGCGTACGAGGGCGGGGAAAGCGGCAGCCAAACGCCCGGCAGCATGCCCAGCACACCGTCGCCACTGGAGACCTCTAAACCTTTCCCAGGAAGCTCCGGGGATCGAGATGCAACTTCCTCCCTGACTGAAGACAGCTTTCTCTTCAGTGACAACATCTCACTGGGGGAGTCCTTCAACAATGTTGAGGTGAGAGGGTGTTTGTGACTGACTTTTCATCTTGCTGAGATAGTTCAAGAGAGGATGAGTAAGGGAGAGAGATTTAGGATTACATTGTTGTTTACAGCACTAGTTTATAAAAGGATCAGATCGGCAGTATTTTCTATTTTTGTTATTGCCATTAAATCCCAAGAAAAAGCCAAAACCAACTATTAATTAGTATCTCTGGATACTTTATCAGCCTCATGCCCATTGGTTTCTGCTGAAGATGTAAATTTTTAAAAATGGGTCAAAATATTTATTTTTCTCTTTGAACAAGGCTGTAGTTTTTAGCAATTAACTGGGACTATTTTTCAGCTGCTCTAGTGAGTAGCCCAGAAACAGTTTCTCACGAAGCCCCTAGAAGTTAGCAGATGATAAAATAAAATAAAAAGTGTCTGTATTTCATATGATAGTCTGCATCGGAGGTTGCCTTAATGCTACTAAACAGCAGGAGCTTCCGACTCAGTGGGTGAAATGTCAGCGCCACCTCAGGGAGCCCAACACAGACTTTCATCTAGTGGGCTTCTTTTTGTCATTTCAGTGAGTCACTGGAGGGCAGAGGTGGGATGTGGGAGGCAACCGGTCTCCTCCCACAGCTGGAGACAGTCAGTTATAGAATTAAATATGTTTGGTGTAAATACTAGTTGGGGAATGTGGCAAAGCATTTGATCAGCCCAGTGGTATAAATTAAGCCTGTATGAATGTAGTATTACATTCAAGATAGGGTTGTTTTGTATCAAGAGATAGATTAGAGGCGAGGTCATAGTGAAACTCAGGCCACTATAAGGCTTTGAGAAGTATTTTAACTTATTTTTAAGAGAGTCCAAATTGTTGGTGACATTATATTTGAAATGTTCTTATTAATGTTGTTGTTATTTCTTTACTGTATCCTGTTACCTGCTGCTGCAGTTATAGACCAGAGGGATCAATCAAATTTAATTTAATCTAATCTCCTCTAATGATAACCCCTCTCTGTTTCTTTCTCTCTGGTGTGGTGTCGCCACCTAGCGGGCGGAGGAGGAGCTGTGCAGCATGCTGCTGGAGATTGTGCTATGCGTGATGTGGCGTGGTGTAGAAGGTTCAGATGATTCGGCGTGGCTGGAGCGCGGTCAGGTCTTCTCAGCTCTCACTAAACTGGGAACCGCCAATGAGCTCCTGCTTCCTGTCGACCAGATCAAACTCAGGTCAGTCCTCCATTCGACTGCTGACATGGACAGACCAGGAGCTGAAAACATGCTGAATGCTTTCAGAATCAGGCTCACTAACAGTATCTAATAGTCTCTCTTTCTCTTTTAAGTCTTATGGAACGTATGTTGGAGTGGGCGGTGAGTGATAACCGCGAGGCATCAGCCGCCACGTTGCCGCAGCACACGGAGAACGCAGTGCGGTTGCTTCACATGGTGCAAGACTTCCTGCAGGCTGAGGGCCTGGTCAACCCAGCTCTGTGGACGGAGAAGGTGCTAGAAGAGACCGTGACACTGATGGACAGCCTCATGGTTTGGTACTCGGCCGGCACCCAGTGGTTCCAGCTCTCCCAAGTTGGACTGAGACTGCTGCTGGGCTTCATGGCTCAGGAGGACCCAGAAGTGAGTTATTCTTTCTCTTGTCCACGTTTCTGCCTTGTTTGTATTGCTCCATGTGTATTTCCTTTGCGTGCACAATAATAAATGACCTCTGTCCCAGGTGTGTGCAATGGCCACCGCCAAGCTGAATGGCATCCTGCAAACAAAGGAGGTGTCCAGCCAGGACGAGGCCTGCTACCTGCTAGGTAAGGTGGAGGGCATCCTGCGCCGTTCTGTCCAGGAACAAACGGAGGAGACGTACTCCTTCCTGGTTCCTCTGCTGCGAACGCTGCTCTCCAAAGTCCACCGCCTCCTCTACATGGAGCTGCACCTCCCCCAGCTCCCCGATACCAACGGCAGCCCGTCCTTCTTTGAGGACTTCCAGCAGTACTGCAACTCACCTGAGTGGCGCGTCTACCTCGACAAATACGTATGAGATTTACAGTTCTTATAGATTATATTGGATACAAATTTACTGCAAAATGTAATGTAAATGTTCTCCCTTTTTACTTCCGTTTGTGTTTAGATTATCCCGTACATGAAGCAGTATGAAATCGAAACATTCAGCCAGGGCCATGAGACCATGGCTCTCTATTGGAAGGAGTGCTACGAGGCTTTCATGGTCAGCCTGCATAAGAGAGAGAGGGAGAGGGGTGAGAGCAAGATCCGCTTCCAGGTTAGTTGGATCAATCACTGAAGCCTCTTTTTCTCTGTTTCTGTCCCAGTATGGACTCTATTTATTGTTGCTTTGATCTCCCATGAACTCATCCTCTTCATTTTCCCTCCAGGAGCAATTTGTGGAGCCTTTCTCACGCCGAGGACGCCAAGAGAACCTCCGCTACAACAGCATGTTGAAACAGCAGCACAGCCAGAACAGTGCCACCCTCAGGCAGTGGAAGGCAGCACGCCGGGGTCTGGTGTGTGAGAGAGGCCCCTGGGCTGACAGGTACTGACATCAGCTGCTCTCCTTCTCTGCATTTCTTGCCTTTTTCCACTTTATTCTGTCTACCATAATAATACAAATCAACATCATCAACCTCTCAATATGGGCCAGAACTTTAGTTTATACTTTCAAGCATAGGAAAAAAGCGATTGCAGTAGCAGTGGTGAGGAAAGAAACATAATTAAGAAGAAGAACAGATATAGATAATTTCTGGCGGTGGGAGTATTACAAGTGTGTTTTGTAACCATTTCTAACAGGCAACAGGACAAGATGCACTGGAGGTTGTCGAGTGCTGAGAACTTCTCCCGCATGAGGCTGAAACTGGTCCGTAATTACAACTTTGAGCCACACCGAGAGGCCAGCGCACTGAGAGACAACTTAGGTAAGACAACAGTGCCTCTCTACAGTTTCATTCTGCCTTGTTGTTGGCTTGAGTATTTGGCTTGAGTATTTGGACTAAATTTAAACCTCCAGTGGCCTTAAAGCTGCACATCAGTGTCTCAGTTTGGCAGCAAAAAGTAGCTGCTCCAGTATTCAGTGAATGGATGTGATGATGAGGGATAAGTGTGTGTACAGTGTGCCATAAGCACACTCCAGCATCCAGTCTGCCCTTAATAAACAGATTGTAAAGGACTGACATTAAAAATGGATGGTGATCCTGATTCAAAAGTTGTCATGTAGAACCCAGCTTGTGAGTAAGCAAGTTTAAAACTGTAAATTTTCTGTTTATGGAATGAAAGTGAGCCATTATCTTCACAGCAGGTATGTTTCTGTAGTTTGTCAGCCTTTGACAAGCGTGTAAGAAGTTAACTACCAGCGCTGCCATGTGATATTAACCACCGCGCTATCCCTGGATCCCTCCTCTGAGTTTTTAATCATTTCCTGTCTCTCTTGCTTTGCTCAGGTGTCCATCAGCAGCGTGTAAACCCTGAGTCTCTACTGCTGGAGGCTGTGAAGCAGGTCAAAGTCAGCGACCTGGAAGACGACATCCTGGAGCTGCCCGAGGACGACCCTGCTGCTGCCAACAACCAGTCAGTCGCCAAATACAAAAACCACAGAACCACCGCATTCACGTAATGGATCCTAAGAATTACAGCCTTCCATTCTTTGTCTGTGTCCTGCAGAGTTGAAACAGAGGAGGCAGGCCAGAAGGAGAAGCTGGTGCTGTGGGAGGACTGCGAGTTGGTGACGGTGGTGGACGTTGTGCCTGGTCGCCTGGAACTCACCACCCAACACATCTACTTCTACGACAGCAGCCAGGAGAAAGAGGAAGGTGAGAGAGGCGAAGGAGAAAGTATAGGGGGAAAAAACATCAATACATTTTTACCCACACTAACTGTCTACTTGTTTCCTGAAGGAGTGGGCCACGACTTTAAATGGCCCCTGTCTCAGATCCGAGAGGTCCACCTGCGGCGCTATAACCTACGGCGCTCAGCTCTAGAGATCTTCCTCATCGATCAGACAAATTACTTCCTCAACTTCAAGAAAGAGGTGATGAGGCACAAATGTAACTGCAAAAAATTGGATAATCGTCTAAAGATAGGCAAACTCCTGTTGAGTTAGATTTGAATGTCTAAAAATCCAAGAGAATATTTGATCCCCTCTTTATGTTTTATGTGTTATGTTGTTTGTTTATAATAACATTGTGTTTTTCTTATTAACAGGTGAGGAACAAAGTCTACAGCCGCATGTTGCTGCTGCGATCTCTCAGCCTTTATGGAACCCGCTCCCCACAGGAGCTCCTCAAAGCCTCTGGACTCACACAGGTCAGGAAACAACAATGCAGAGCTCTCATTAACAATTACACACATATACTGTAATGAAATATATGACTTCATTGTATAGGAGTTGATTTTTAAAATGATCTTTGGTATCTGCCTTTATTACTTGCAGAAATGCAAACAGTGTAATCTGGTTTTATTTCAAAAGACAGCACCATCTGTTGTAATCATATTCTCACAGCTGGAGAAAGGACCTTAAACAATGAACTCTAGAAAAGTTTTGTCATACAGAGAGTCATCTTATTTCTAAAAGACTTTCTCAGGTCAAATGATGAACACCGAAACATAATTAATGAATTTTTCTCTGCGCACTGAATATCAAATATCAGACCACAATCTGAGGTTGGGTTTATTTAATGTCTGGTTAGCTGTTCATGAAGGATGGAAACTAATCAATCACAGTCTTACAATCTGAACAATAAACTGTACAAACTCACATGTTGTCAATAGGTGAACTTTAACCTTTTGCTTGTTCTTTTTTTTTCTTTCTCCTGCTTTTGCACAGAAATGGGTGAACCGGGAGATCTCCAACTTCGACTACTTGATGCAACTGAACACGATTGCAGGCAGAACGTACAACAACCTGGCTCAGTATCCAGTGGTACGTTCACTGAACACATTGTACAGCTGTGGTGACTGGATGGATGTTAATAATTTGATCTCACTTATTTGTGTGTGTGTGTGTGTGTGTGTTACCAGTTTCCCTGGATTCTAGCTGACTACACTTCAGAGGAACTGGACCTGTCTGATCCTCGGGTATTCAGGGATCTGTCAAAGCCAGTGGCGGTTCTTAACGAACGCAACGCCAAGGCAGTTAGAGAGAAGTAAGTTTCATCCATCCATACTTCTCATAACTGAATTATCATTAAATATACTATAAATGATATAGAAATATGTCAGCAGCTGGAGGAAGGCACGTTGCTGAAAAGTAAACTTTTTAAATGTGTCCAACAGATATGAAAGTTTCGAGGACCCGACAGGCACCATTGACAGGTTCCACTATGGCACCCACTACTCAAACGCCGCTGGAGTGATGCACTACATGATCAGAGTGGAGCCCTTCACCTCCCTGCACATCCAGCTGCAGAGTGGACGGTAAGACAACCAGACACTCACTGCATTACAGCGACTCCCCCTCTACTGTCCCTCCGTTTGTCCTCAGCGTTGATAGTTAGACGTGTTTGTGCCGCACACACCGCTGCTGTTTCTAGTGTTTTATAATCGCTGCTCATCTGTACCATCCTGCCTCGGCTCAGGTTTGACTGTGCCGACCGCCAGTTCCACTCCATCCCTGCGACGTGGCAGACCCTCATGGACAACCCGAATGACGTCAAGGAGCTCATCCCGGAGTTCTTCTACTTCCCAGAGTTCCTTGAGAACCAAAATGGTGACATTTAAGTTTTGAGTATCCTTTTGAAATTGTTTAAAATATTTATATACAAAACTGTCGACTACTACCACCAAAGTTATGATGGAAGGATTTATTTTCTTAAAGCAGATCAAGAAGCACTGATCCGTCGAACAGTTAAATATTTAATATATTTGTTAGCAAATTCAGACTTTACAGATGGTCACTAGTATAGGACTCGTATGTGATGTATGGATATGATGCAGCCTGTGAATACATATTGTTGTAGAATGGATAAACACATACAGCGATGCAGTTTTTTACTGGGTTTTAGCAACATGGACAAATTGCATAATGCCTTGCTTCTTCTTTTGATCACCTGGTTTAAACGTTTTCGGAGGGACGATGTCTCTGGTGTCTTTTTGAAGATGGTCATAAATATGTTTTGCATTCATTCTCTGATCCCTTTCTTCTTTTTCCTCTATACCTGGCTTCTCTCTTCCTGTTCCTTTGTCCTTTGTTCTCGCCGTCACCCAGCCTTTGATCTGGGTCGCCTGCAGATCTCCAAGGAAAGGGTAAACGATGTGATTCTGCCCAAATGGGCCAAGTCCCCTGAGGACTTCATCTACAAGCATCGCAAAGCCCTGGTGAGATGTAGTTTTAGTTCTGCTGCTGTATAACTTTTCTCAGAGGATATTGTGCAAGAAGAAAAACTGTAAACATTCAAGCTTTTACATCAGTGCAGAATGTTTTTAACTGAATCCCAAACTCGTTGAACCTTTTAGTTACTGAAGATACTACACTATCAAACTCCATTTCACATGAGATTATGCTATGTACACTTTGTTAGCTGTTCTCTGTATTATTTGTGTTTACAAGCACAGTGTGTGTGTGTTTTCATGACAGGAGTCGGAGTACGTCTCAGCCCACCTTCATGAGTGGATCGATCTGATCTTTGGTTACAAGCAGAGGGGCCCTGCAGCTGTGGAGGCCCTCAACGTCTTCTATTACTGCACATATGAAGGTAAAGAATCCAGGACGGTTGCACTATTGTGTGTATAAAGAACTTCAGGCAACATATTGGTTACAGAAAATGTAAATGTAGATTACACCATTACAACCCTAGAGTAAACTTAAATATTTGAGTATTACATCATAAAACACATATTGACTTTTTGGTATTTTATTAACAGTAAAAAACATACTTACTTAGATGTGACAGTTAATTCCTAAAGGGGAAAGCTGATTGAGTGATTGGTGTGGTGTTGCAGGGGCGGTGGACCTGGGGACTGCCGATCGACTGAACGAAAAGGAACCGCGAGAGAGCGCGGTGTGGAAGGCATGGATCCAGCAGACTGGTTCGGACAGACGCGCGGCGCGTGCGCCAGCTTACTCGCGAAGGTACACACACACACACACACACACACACACACACACACCACACCCCTCACACACACACACACACACACACACACACACACACTGGATGCATGAAAAGAAATTAACAAAAAACCTGAAACATATCATGACTCACTGAAGTTTTGTATCTGTAGTGATGGATCAGATTTAGACTTGTGTGTGTGTGTGTGTGTGTGTGACTGCATAGGAGCCCCATCCTGTGCGTCTGCCTCAAGAGGAAGTGGAGAAGAGGAAGGCTCAGCTGGACTCATGTCCTCTCAACATGTTCGAACACCTCAGCGACCTCAAATCCTTCTTTGTTGAGGTTTGAGCCCTCTGCTGCTTATTTACATTCTGATTACTACAGTGCATTTTTTTATGAATATGTCTCTCTAAAATAACCTGGATTTCAATTCTCTCCCCCGTCATGTTGCAGGGCATCAGTGACAATGTGGCGCTGGTTAAAGCCGTGGTGCCAAAGAATCAGTCCCATTCCTTCATCACCCAGGGGAGCCCCGACACCATGGTGAGTCTTGGTGCAAGTAATCATTGTAATAATCATTACAGAGTTGTTTTATATTTATTGTGCTCTTCTGAATTCTAAACAAAAGGAATGATTGACTTCATTGTCTTTGTTTCCAGGTGACGGTTAGTCGGAACTGCCTGGTCGGGACCCATGGGTGGCTGCCTTACAACAAGAACATCTCCAACTACTTCACCTTCATTAAGGACCCCACAGTGTCCAACACCAAGTGAGAACACACACAACACACGTGCAAATACAGTACATTCACAGCACAGCGCCAGCTCATCGCCCTCTGCATTTGTAGGACCCAGCGTTTCCTGTCCGGGCCCTTCGCCCCCGGCGTGGAGGTCACATCGGGACTGTTTGTGGTCTCCCACGATGGCAAGTTGCTCTTCAGCGGTGGCCACTGGGACAACAGCCTCCGGGTCACCTCCCTGGTTAAGGGCAAGACTGTGGGACAGCACATCCGACACATGGGTAAACTCACATTAAACATGTCTCAGTGAAGAAAAGTCTGTTTTTGACTTGTGCCACATTCAAACAAACAGGCCAGGTATGATGATGATGACGGTACTGGTACTTGATGTGGGTTTCCATTCAAAACAATTAACCCCTCCCTGAACTAAATGTATGTTAAATCGGGTGATAAAAATATAAAATGTATGATTGTATATGTGTGTCCTCTAATAGTCTGCGGTTTTGTTCCCCTCTCCTCCAGACATTGTGACCTGCTTGTCAACAGACCACTGCGGTATCCACCTAATCTCCGGCTCCAGAGACACAACCTGCATGGTGTGGCAGGTTCTGCAGCAGGTTAGGACAACCAGGACTCACTTATACATCATGATTGCATTGATCTGCAGAGAAAGTAACAGATTTAACTTCATAAAACTGGGGAGCCAGTATTCATTCCTGGGTTGTAGTATTATTAGTAGTAAATATTATTGAAGCTGTTGTTAACTGATTAATGATAGATAGAACATGCCTAATTCATTGGTCAGCCATTTAAATTAATACTTTAGAAAAAAAACCCTGAGTGGAAACACGAAACAAAAATTGAAATTTTTCAAAGAAATGCACATGCACATAGTTTGTTTGCTCTGTCGTGCAGGGCGGAGCTCCTGTCGGTCTTTATCCTAAACCAGTTCAGGTGTTGTACGGACACACGGACGAGGTGGTCAGTGTCAGTATCAGCACAGAGCTGGACATGGCTGTGTCTGGATCACGGGTAAGAAAGAGTGAAAGATTGACGCTGGACAAAGTATTCAATCATATGCTGAGAAAACAAGCTTGAGTTTAGACTGAGAGTTCGTGGGTATGTGTGTAATTCTGGGTCTTTAAAGGAGAGATTTGTAAGGTTCAGTTGCTTTATTTACCTTTAATTTAAGAACTGCACACAATATGCAAACTCCAATTGCAGTTTATGTGATGTTGATGAAAAATTAAATGAATGTTGAGACTTTTAAAGTTGACTGAAACTTTCTTTTTATTAAAAGTATGCTTTTACATTCAAGTTTGATTAGAAACTAAATTAAACTAAACTGGCAAAAGGTTTTTAGGTAAATTAGTTATTAATTTATCTTAGTTATGGAATAGAAATTGAATATTGTTTGATCCACTATTTCCCAACATAAAAATAGGAACGCAGGTAAAGTGGAGGGCTGTCACCTGGGAAATTACACTATTTGTTATAACTTCTCAGTAAATGAAAGAAAAACTGCTGTGTGGTATTTAACGTGTGCTTCCCCTCTGTGTTTCCCAGGACGGGACAGTGATCATCCACACGGTGCGTCGGGGTCAGTACATGCGCTGCTTGCGACCGCCGTGCGACAGCTCCCTGCCGCTCTCCATCCTCCACCTGGCTGTGTCCTGGGAGGGTCACCTGCTGGTCCACACCTGCCTCGAGGGCAAAGCAACGCTCAAGGTGCAGGCACAGTTTTTATTCCACACCCACAGACACTGCGTGGAAAGATGGGGATTAATCTGGGAAACAAAAATGTTATTCATAGGTGCTTTTTTTCTGTTCCCAGGATAAAAACGCTCTACATCTTTACTCTGTAAATGGGAAGCACCTCTGCAGCGAGCCGCTGAAGGAGCAGGTGACTGATATGTGTGTTTCAGGAGAGTATGTCGTCATCGGCAGCGAGCAGGGATACCTGTCCATCCGTGACCTCTACAGGTAAACTCCCATACCTCCTAAAACTGTCTACTATTATGATGTTATTCCTAAAGCTGTTATCCCCTAACCTTGTCCCGCCTGAGTCTAATGTGGACTTCTCCTGTGCAGTCTGTCGATGAGCATGGAGCCCATGGCCATGCGGGTGCCGGTGCGTTGCGTCTCGGTCACCAAGGAGCAGAGCCACGTCCTAGTGGGCCTGGAGGACGGCAAGCTGATCATCGTGGGCGTAGGCAAGCCGGCGGAGGTAAAGAACTCGCTGAGGAACTACATCGCTCAGAGCCTGGAGGGATCGCCGCTCATGGCCTCCCCCCTGCTGGCCCCGCTTCGAGCTCGCTCACCAACCCGCCTGCTGCACCAGCGCGACCAGCTGGTGTTCAGCCCCACTTCCAGCTCCCACAAACCCTAGCACCTCCTAGTCCATTCCCCTCCCCTCCCTTTCCATTGCTGTAGATCTGACACACACACACACACA